CAACTCCCAACTCCCAACTCCCAACTCCCAACTCCCAACTCCCAACTCCCAACTCCCTTAAGCCTGTCCATCATCTACAAGGCACCTGTCAGGAGTGCGATGAAATCCTCTAGACTTGGCTGGATAAATGCAGCTCCAACAGCATCAGGAGGCTCAAAACCACCAAGGACAAAACAGCCCACTGGATTCAAACCCCATCTATCACCTCCAATATTCACTCCGTCTATCACCGATGCTCTGCAGCAGCAGTGTGTACCATCTACAAGATGCACTGCAGAAAATTACCAAGGTTCTTTAGATAGTACCTTCCAAACTCACAATTACTTGGAAGGACAACGGCAGCAGATGCACGGGAGCATTGTCACCTGCAAATTTTCTTACAAGTCACACACCATCCTGACTTGAAACCATATCACCGTTTCTTCATTGTTCATGGGTCAAAATTCTGGAACTCTTCCTAATGGCACTGTGGGTGTCCCTAGACCACATGAACTGCTGCAGTTCAAGAAGGAAGTTCATCAGCAACTTCGAAAGGACAATAAAGGATGAGAACAAAGGTTGATCTGTTAAATGACCACATCCTGTGCATAATTTTTTTAAAAAGTGGAAAGTAACAGTCTTGTCCTAAACTCCTTTTCCTCATTGTAAATGTTTTGTGTTGTCATTGCTAGTAAATGCCCATTTCTCAGTTCAATAATTCCAAGCAGGCTGTTTCAGTTGTTTATTTGTCTGTGGCTGGTTGATTATCCTTATGACTGTATTTGCAAATAATTAAACATTGAAAATGAGCTGAAGTCTGCAGAAAACCAAACCAAGTACAGCGAATAAAAGCAAAATACTAGGGATACTGGAAATCTGAAACAAGCACACAGAATGCTGGAGAAACTCAGCAGATCTGGCAGCAGCTGTGAAGAGAGAAAGAGAGGTTAACATTTTGTGTCCAGAATGACTCTTCTTCAGAAGTTCCTCCAGCATTCTCTGTATTTGTCTAAGTATAGCTGCAGGACAGGGACAAGTCTAAGAGGGTGGGCTGTAACATTTCTGAGGCACTTTATCCCATGACAGGATAAACATCCTCTTTTCAGGATAACTGTGTGTTGGTTCGTAACATCAATCAACTGAATGCTGACGAAGATAACTATGGAGATGCTTGCGACAACTGTCGAATATCAGTTAACAATGACCAGATTGACACAGATAGTGATGGGAAAGGTGATGCCTGTGATGATGATATGGATGGAGATGGTAAGTACTTACCTCAAGCAAAAACCTCTAACACTCGTATTATGATCCCAGCTGATGGTGATGCAGGAGAAATCAGACTCCAACGTGAAACCTGGTGTTATTTTTGCAATTTGATTGCCATGGTAGTCAGTCACTGAACGTGTTCACAAGAGGCTGCCAATGTACTTTTAACAAAGCAGTATAAGTTTGCTATGTAAACGAAATGTGAAATAAATGGCCAAAAGAAAGATTCATCCCTCTTCCCAGCAATACTCTTTACAGACACTCAACCCTAGTGATGTATCAGGCCTGTTCTTCATTCTAAAATTTCATACACAACTGACAGGTTTGCAAGCACTGCCCTTTTGGCAAATTCTTGCACATTCACCAGATGTGATTCTCGTTATTACTGTCTTGTTCCCGAAGCACGTAGACATAAGTCACTTTCACAAAACCAAAAAAGATCCAATTTATATCTATTTTACACGTCAAGCTTTCAAATAATAATAATATATTATAAATTTTTGACCCACTTGTTACAACTCATTCAAGTGCTTATCTGTTCATCCCTATTTCACTGATACGTTGTAGCTCCTTGTGTTAAACACTGATTGTTAAACTTTCTCCCATATAAAACTCAGTGCTCCAGATTTCCTCATCATTGAACCATAAAGGTTGCTGTATTTAATGAAAATGTCAATGATAAATTAGAACGAGGAAGTTGCTTCATCCCACATGAGGTCATCTATTCAGAAAATCAGACCAGAGATTTAGAGACGTATTAGAAATAATTACGGAGAAGTACATTGTAACGCTTGTTGTTTCTCAGGCAGTTTGAGTTGGACGAAACCAACTCACTGGTGCAGACTTCAGGCAGGGAGTCTTTAATTTTCCTGTTTTCTCTGGTACCATGGTCGCTGCACAGCCCTGAGTTAAAACATAATCAAGCACTGTCACATCAGTGGTTTAGTGAGCACAGCCGGTTCCATGACTTTTCTGTCTTCTGTCGTCCACCTTGGATTCCATGTGTGCAGTTTCTTTTTGGCTTGAACAGATATTAAAGTAACCTGAGCCTAAAGTCTGTACAGGAGAGATTGTTCGGCCCATCGAGTCTGTACCCCTAGAAATATACTACCACCTGCACTATTCCCACTTTCCAGCATTTGGTCAATAGCCTTAAATGTTATGATACTTCAATTGCTCATCCAAGTACTTCTTAAAGATTGCATGTTTCCTGCTTCAATTACCCTCCCACACAGTGCATTCCAGATCCCCACACTCTTAGGGTGAAAATGTTTTTCCTCAAATTATCTCTAAACCTTCTGCCCCTTCTTATTGATCCTTCAACAAAAGAGGACAGCTGCTTTGTAGTCACTCTGTCCTTGCCCCTCATTATCTTATTCACCTCTCTCAGGTGACTCCTCAGTCTTCACTACTCCAAAGAAAACAACCCAAGCTTATCCAGCCTCTCTTCACAGCTAGACTGCTCCATCCCAGGCAGCATCCTGATGTATCTCTTTTGCTGCATCCCATCCAATGCAATCACATCCTTCCCTCAATGTGGTGATCAAAACTGCACATAGTACTCCAGTTGTGGCCTACCCATTTTTGCGAAGAAAAATTTCCTTCCCTCACCGCTCACTAGTTTGAACTTGTGTCGCTCTTACAATTCAACTTTGAAGCAATTTTCCACATTGATCAGTTCCTCAGAATTGCCATTTAATATATTTCAATAAGACCACTTTACCATCAACTCCTTCACAAGACTGAAAAGCTCATGTTTTTCAACCTATCCTCATAGCACTGACATTAGGATTCATTGTCATGGTTTTCTTCTGAATGCTTCCTGAGTGCTTCCCTTTCTAAATTGTTGATGGCCTTATTCTGGTAACTGTTTATTGTCCCAAGAACCTCAGTGTGAATGAGTTAGGGGGTGAATGTGAGAGTGTGTGTAGGTAAGGTGGATGAGTGAATAGTATGGAAGCTGGATAGGGTGATAGATGGGTGTTATGTGTCGGTGTGGTTGGTAGTTCTTGGGCAAGGATGGGTAGTCATGTGGTTGGGGCCACAATGTTGAAGATTGATAGGGATGCTGGTGGGCACTGTGTGAGTGACTGGGGGAGTCAGTTGTATAATTACCAAGGAGTTAGATGAAGATTTTCTTGTCTAATGTTTCCCAGGGTGCAAGTGACACAGGGTGGGGGGGATTGTGGGGAATGAGTGGCAATCCAGTTATGTTTTATCGGAGGTTCTGGGTTAGAAGGGAAATTGTCCTCCAGAATTCCTACAGAGTCAGTATGATGGGACATTTGTAGACTCCTGACATGCATCTTGGGTCCTACATTTGGGGTGTGACAATGTCGTAACTGGAAAATCTGGCTCATCATCTAAGATGAGGTTCTGGGCAGAAATTCATTCGTCGAATATCACCTAAACATGGTGCTATGCAGAATTTATAAATTCCCTGAAGGCAGACAACATCATAGTTCACACAGGTAGCAACTGACTCCAATGTCTGCCCTTGGGGAACCTACATTATCTCCGCAGCTCTGCTTTGAAGCGCCATTTCCCAAAAAAATGAAGAAACAGGAATAAGCACCAAAAATAGTTGATTTAAATGACCAGTATTTTAAATGACTGGGATCATAGAAATGTTATCACTGAGAGAAGTCATCCTAAACAACATGCCTGTGTCAGTGCTGAGAAATGAAGTGCTACAACTTATGCTATCAACCTATTCAAATCCCATTGACCCTGATCTCTCATAACAAGCACTAGATATCTTTTGAGTGTCACTTCCTCTGCAGTAATTTTTGAGATACATAGTTTTATATTCAATTTATTTATTTGGTTGTTTCAGTGCGGTGACTGGTTATGCTGAGGATCGTATATAATAGAGCTCCCTAGCTCTTTTTCAACTTCACTATTAGCTATTCAAATAGCTTTCCCGGATGATGTGTATATACCATTTTTTTTCCAATCTTCACTGCTTTATACTTTGTCAATATAATATCTTATCTTCTACTTTTCGGACAATAGATTATTTTCAGCACGGAAAAACACAATTTTGGTCCATTTTATCTGTGCCGAGAGCAGATCTGAACTAAGCCCACCCCTGGGTACTCTCCCCATAGCTAGGTTTCAAATGTTTATCTAAATGATCACCACCCCAACCAGTCCCTGTAATGAAGTATGCCATTTAAATAGATATATCTGTTAACCTCCTACTTTACATTCAGTGGCAACAAGCAAAGACTGAAATGATGTGACGTCTGATGTTCTATAGTGATTGGTATTGGAGTTGACGTTATTTTCTATACACGTATATAATTTAGGATTCGGCCTTTGAAATTTGCCAAAAATACCAAAATAAATTATGACATTCAATTTGAGAGATTGAAAGATTGTTATGGGAGGTCGGAGTTCAGTGGGATTTGAATAGGTTGATAGGGTAAGTTGTAGCACCTCTTTCATCTGCTCTGACACAGGCATGTTGTGCAGGCTGATGTCTCTTAGTGATAACATTTCTATGAGTCCAGTCATTGAAGATACTAGTTGCTTAAATCGACAGTTTTTGGTGCTTATTCCTGTTTTTTTTAAATAGTCTTCCAATTTTATTTTGCATTTTCATCCTGTGTTTATCATATCCCAAAGTATAAACTCATCCTGCACTCTATTGAATCTCAGCATTAGTCATTCAGATAAACCAGGTTTAGTTAATGTGCACCTTTTGCATCTTCCTCCAGGGATTAAAAATTTCTTGGACAACTGTCAAAGAGTTCCCAATATAGACCAGAAGGACAAAGATAACGATGGTGTCGGCGATGCTTGTGACAGCTGCCCTGATGTCGTCAACCCTAACCAGGTCTGAGAGAGCAGCCTTGTCATTATCCTTTGCAAACTGTAATACTTTGTTAAATGCTGAACAACATCTTTAAGAGGTTGCACCCTGTTACAGAGTAAGCATGCTGCAACAGCTCCTATTTTTATTTTGCATGCTTCATTTGATTGCAAGTGCTTTTCGCTGAAACAAATTGTGTTCGTCAGAAGTGAGAGATATGAGTGCAGCAGGATGGAATCCATTTCAGGTTTCAGGTTCAACAATGTTCCTCTTCAAACAGCCCCTTCCCCTTTTGAAAACACAGCTCATCCAAAACTCAGCTAACTGCATTATACTCTACCCTAAGCTGCAATTACCTATGACCCATGTGTCATGCTGCCCGCTTCCAGAACATCAATAGAAACACAGAAAGTAGGAGCAGGAATATGCCATTCAGCCCATCCAGCCCAGCCTGTCATTCCTCTATCTCAATGCCATGCTCCCACATTCTCCTCATATCCCTTGACAGAGTCATAGAATCATACAGCACGGAAACAGACCCTTCGGTCCAACCAGTCCATGCCAAATATAATGCCAAATTAAACTAGGCCCACCTGCCTGCTCCTGGCCCATATCCCTCCAAACCTTTCCTATTCATGTACTTATCTAAGTGTCTTTTAAAAGTTGTAACTGTGCCCACATCCACCACTTCCTCAGGAAGTTCATTCCACATGCCAACCACCATTTGTGTAAAAGAAAATGCCCCCACATCTTTTTTTAGATCACTGTCTTGTCACCTTAAAAATATGCCTCCTAATCTTGAAATCCTCCATCCAAGGGAAAAGACACCTACCATTGACCCTATTTATACCCCTCATTATTTTATAAACCTCTATAAGATCACCCCTCAACCTCCTGTGCTCCAGTGAAAGAAGTCCCAGCCCTTCCAGCCTTTCTTTATATCTCAAATCTTCCATACCCGGCAACATCCTGGTAAATCTCTTCAGAACTCTCTCTAGCTTAATGATATCCTTGAAATCCATCTATTTCTTTCTTAAATATATTCAGTTACTTTGGCTCCACAGCCTTCTGTGATCAGGATTTCCACAGGTTCATCACATTTCAAAAGATCAAGGATTCTGATAGACACCAGCCACATTGAAATTCTCACCTCCTTGCTCAATTTGCTTCACAGTGACTTTAATCTTCTCCAGCCCCATGCCTCCTTAATACCATGATGTAGAGGTTTTGGACTCGGGTGGATAAGGTCAGAAGTCACATGAGACCAGGTAATAGTCCAATAGGTTTATTTGAAATCACAAGCTTTCGAAACACTGCTCCTTCAGCTGAAGTGAAGAGAAGCACAGGCCTGTGTCCCTAAGACTGCAGAATTGTTACCTTTGCCCCAATCAGATGACTGTGCCTTCGGTCACATGGGCACACTTTTCATTGCATTGCATATCGTGACAGTGACATCCCCTCATCTATGTGACTGAGACATATCATCAATGATTTTCAGATTCCCACTGTGTATTGCACTTGAAAGTAAAGAGGATTGCTGCTTGTTAAAATATTGTTACATTATCACATCAGCTCTGTATTTCTCTGTCACGTAGTTTCTTGGGGCAATAGAACTGAATGAGTACTACTAAAATCTACTTTTAATCATAAAATCATAATAGCACTGGTATTGATAACTTAATGACAATAGCAAGTTCATAACATGCACGGTAAATTCAAGCCCTTGTCATTTCTTCTTAAAGATGCAGACAGCATTTAAAGTCCCTGAATAGCTCACCTGTAAGCAGGACAATTTACTTTTATACCAGTTGTCCTCTACTGGTCTGAAATTAGAGTGTAAACAGAATAAATACAATAGTTTTTGATGTTGCTGTCTTAGAATTCAATCATGAAGTGAAAAGCATTTCTCTGTACTGTACCTGAAGTAAAAATGCTTACTACTGAATGCATTAAATTGGAAAGTATGTGCAAAGTATTGTTCTTGATAATCACAAAAAGTTATCCAAAAAATTCTGAAAAAATTACTCGTAAATACAATTTTTGTGTATAATTACTTCAAAATAAGTATCACTTAAAGATATGAAACTCAAGTCATCCACTTATAAAAATCCAACATAACATGTTAAAATACATAACTTGTCTAGTTACTGGTTGTCTTTTCTAAAAGAATATAATCTGTTTCGACTTAACAGAATAATTTCCTCAGTCTGTACACAGGATATATCTCAGCCTCCATCACAATCTTAGATCATTATCAATAAATTTTGCTTTGATTTGCCTGTTTCCTGTTGACTTACATTAAAAACGGAAGTTGTACTTTGGTGAAAATAGTTTACTTTGATTTGCATGTTTGTTATGTTTCCTATGGAGAGACGAAAATGACTTTCTGGCAGAATTCTGATATGGAGGTGCTGGTATTGGACAGGGGTGGATAAGGTCAGAAATCACATGACACCAGGTTATAGTCCAACAGGTTTATTTGAAAACACAAGCTTTCGGAGCCCCAGTCCTTCTTCAGGTGTTAGTGAGAGAGGTAGTACCAGACACAGAATTTATAAGTAAAAGATCAAAGGGTCACACAACTGATGAGGATGTATTAAACAAATCTAAGATGGTGTTAAATCTTTAATCAGTTAGAAGGTTTTAATTGATTAATATGTACATGTAAATCCTTGAATTCCTTTCAAGTCACTGTCCTGAGAGAACTAAAGGTTTTATCAGTGTAAAGAAGAGGTGACATTTTAGGTCAAACAATGCATGTTAGGTGTGAAGCCTTATTTAGAATCTTTTTGTGTTTTGGTTTGGAGTCAGACTGTTTTTATTTCTAAAGTAGGAATTTAGAAAACGCCACATTGACTGTCTATAATTTGTGTGCTTTTTGAACAAAATAGAATTCTGAAATTCCTTGTTCAGTTCCTACAGAAAAAGGTTGTTATTCTTTGGAGTATGGCTTGCAATAACTTTCACAAATTGTAACCTGTATTACTTTATGTGAGGTGCTATGTGAATTTCTCTGAATATCAATCTTATTTATATGCACAGTGTCTTTTGACCTGTTTGCTTTACCTCTAACACCCACTGTTTCTTTCTGTTTACAGTCAGACATTGATAATGATCTTGTTGGAGATTCCTGTGACACAAATCAAGACAGGTACCTTACTGCAATGGTTAGATATTTCTGAAATGTACTGTCTCTCCTTGGTAAGAAAAGGGACATTGTCCTCCCTGTGCTATTTGAAAGGCTGCATAAATTTATTTTAACAGCTCGGGAGAGGTTAATGAAACATTAGATGCTTTTTGGAATTCTGTAACATACGTATAAAAATCACTGATATAATTTGTTCAGCACAATAAGCTCTAAAATGATACTTAGCAATTAAAATTAAAAAGATGTCTATTATATCTAATCCAGACTTCAATATTTGAAGTTTAATGGTTGAACGTTTAAGGAAAAAGAAGTTAATATCACAGTCCATTGGAGGATCAGTCCTTGGGCTATGTGAAATGCTGTCTGCCTATCTTCCACTGGTCTTATCTCTCTTTGGTGATTTACTCCCTTTTTACAATCTGCTGTGTCAAACATAGTACTCCTTTTGAGTGAGAATAATGAGTCTACAGGGCTCTGGCCATGACAGTCTCTTAAATACCCACTAGAATACTCTTTGAATTGGTCTAACATAACATTTCCTGTTTCTGGCAGAGATAATGTGTAACAGTTACTGGAGGTGTAGTGGTTTTGATCACAGCTTAAGCCAACCTATATCAGCGCCTTGCTAAAATGTGAAAGTCACTATAAACTCTGTAGGCAAGAGTTCACATCTCAACATTGTGTACTTCAGTATAGGTATCTCAATAGACTACTTTAGCATTTTAATCTGTTTGGGTTGAAATAAGATAACAGCATAGTTCTGATGAAGGGTCTCTAGACTCGAACTGTTACCTTGCTCTCTCTCCATGGATGCTGTCTGAACCACTGCCATCTCCAGCATTTGTTGTTTTTAGTACAAATTCCAGCATCTGTAGTAATTTGCTGCTAACCGCATAGCATCCAGTTCAATGTAAGTAATTCCCTCACTCCCAAACAGTATTTAATAAAGACCACAGCAAATACTTCATCAAATGCTAGCAGGCAGTGCTGAATCAGATAAACATGCAAAAGATTTCTCATTCTTCCTGAAAATTATTTTCACTACTTCAGTGTTGAAATCATCATCAGGGTGCAACTTGCAGCCTTTACAAGCTTTTGCACTGTTTTCTGACTAGATGTTATACTTCATTATTTATTTCAATTATAACAAAATTGGAAATTAAAGCCCAATATCCTGCCAGGATATCAAATGCTATTAAAGCATGTCTACCTGGGAAAAGATTGCTTGTTAAACTATGCAAGTCCTGAATTTAATTGGATTTTTCCTGATGTCCTGCCGTAGCTACTGAGAGAATTGGTGGAGCCTGTGGAGAAGTGTTTCATTTGGTCAGAATGATAGTCTACACCATTTCCATGGAGTTCGGCTGAGCTTTCTTTACTCAGAGAGTAGTAAGGGCGTGGAATGCCCTGCCTGCAAAAATAGTAGACTCGCCCACTTTAAGGGCATTTAAATGGTCATTGGATAAACATATGGATGATAATGGAATAGTTTAGGTTAGATGGGCTTCAGATTGGTTTCACAGGTCGGCGCAACATCGAGGGCCAAAGGGCCTGTACTGCGCTGTAATGTTCTATGTTCTATGTTCTATGAGCTTCCAAAGTTGTGGAAGTAGATTGAGAAATAAGGATGGATATTCAGGGACTAGACACGCTAAAGTGCTGTCCAGTTGACATGTTTGTGAGCATCCTTTTTTTCAGGCTGTCTTTAGATGTCAACACAGTTGACATAGATACGCCATATTGATGGCAAAATCAAGACAGAGTCTCAAACAAAAACAGAAATTGCTGGCAAAACGCAACAGGTCTGGCAGAATATGTAGGGAGAAAACAAAAGTTAACATTTTGAGTCCAGTGACTCTTCATCAGAATGGCTGATGTAAAAGAATATATTCTTGGTTCAATTTTTACCTAATTCCATTAACATTTGAGGATAGTGTACCTTACAAGAGTCTATTTTGGAATGAGCTGCTGGTGGGAAGGATCCTCTACCAGGGCTGACCATTTGATATTTGGCTACAGGAAGATCATGTACATTGTACACACAAATTTGTAGTATGTACTTTCACTGTTTCCCACCATGAGGTGGAAAATTATGCCTATAAAATACACTCAAATATCAATGGGATTGGTTCATGATCAGCCCATGCAAATATTTGGTCTGGCTACCCAATGGTCAAAACACACTTACCATGAGTATCTGGCAGCCATTTAAAACCACAGTGGCAGCAGTAATATTATATGTCTTTCTTAAAGTAAGTGGAAAATATGTAACTTGACAAATCTTACAACGTTTCAACAGCTAAAAGTTCTAAAAATAGAGTAATGTTGAATTTTCCCATATTGACACTTCCATTCATATCTGACGATGTTCTGTCTTATAGTGTAACAGACCAAGTTCATCAGAAGGTATGCATGAGTGTATGATTCTGAGCTTGGGTTCTACAGTTTATTTCCGGTGATATAAATGTAAATGATAAAGAAAAGTGTCTTTTAAAGTCATAATGATTTATAAAATATTTATAACGGCTATTTCAAACACAACTCTAGCAAAAAGATAAAATGCTATTATACTTCAAAACACTGCTTTACGTTACCAGTGATGGAGATGGGCACCAAGACAGCAATGACAACTGCCCCACCGTCATTAACAGCTCCCAGTTGGACACAGATAAGGATGGGCTTGGAGATGAGTGTGATGACGATGATGACAATGATGGAATTCCAGATGTATTTCCACCTGGACCAGATAATTGCAGGCTGGTAGCTAATCCAGGGCAGGAGGATGATAACTGTGAGTCTGAATGCTACTTGTGTTCAAATTTTAATGGGACCGTACTCAAATCAAGGAAGTTTTAGACCAATGCGTCAACTATCTTACTAGCCACTTCTTCTAAGGGCCTGGGATGAGGTCCATCAGAATCTGGGCACTTGTCAGCTCATGGGTTGAATAATTTACTCAGTGTCATTTCTCTGGTAATTGTGATTTTCCTGAGTTATTCCCTCCCTTCTATGTTCTGATTTAACTCTGTTTATGGAGGCAGCCAGATAACACATACCAGAGCCACTACCAAACTGATCATGTTGGTGGACTCCTCCATCCTTCAGTCTAGCATATGGAGTGCCTCTGACAAACCTGCCTGCTGCTCCTGTGCGTGCCTGTGCATTTTGTCAAAGAGTGTAAGTAGGAAGCACAGAGGGCAGGGAGTTTTGGAGGATGAAATGATGGCAGCCAGTATGCAAGCAATAGTGAGAGTTATAGTCTACGAGCATTGATGAGGGCTGTGTGCAGTGGGACAGTTGTGTGAGTGCTGGTCCTGTGACTGTAAAAGTGGCAGAGAGAAGATTGTGGTACTTACTTTGCAAAGCACAGAAGATCATGGAGCTTCTCAGGGGCAGTCAGTATGGCTTTGGGCAGGGGAAATCTTGTCACACAAATTTGATTGAGTTTTTTTTAGGAAGTGATGGAGATGAGTGATAAGGATAAAGCTGTGGATGTTGTCTATATGGACTTTACTAAAGCATCTGACAAGGTCCCTCATGGTAGATTGCTCCAGAAGATTAATGGAATCCATGGTGAGTTGGTAAGTTGGCTTGGTCATAGAAGATGGATCATAGTTGTGGAGGAGAATTTTCCTATGGAGGTCTGTGACCAGTGGTGCTCAACAAGGATCAGTGCTGGGACCTCTGTTGTTTATAACATATATAAATGATTTGGAAGAAAATGTAGGTGGTCTCATTAGTAAGTTTGCAGAAGATGTGAAATTTGATGGAGTTGCGAATAGTGAGGAAGGTTGTCAAAGGATACAGCATGGTATAGATCAGTTTGAAAGTTGGGCGGAGAATTAGCAGGTGGAGTTTAATCTGGACAAGTGTGAGGTGATACATTTTGGGATGTCAAATGCAAGAGGAAACTATACAGTTAATGGCAGGACCCTTAGGAGGCTTGATATACAGGAGGATCTTGGGATGCAAGTCCATAGCTCCCCGAAAGTGGCAACACAAGTGTATAAGGTGGTGAAGAAGATATATGGCATGCTTACCTTCATCAGTCAGGGCATTGAGTATAAAAGTTGGCAAATCACATTGCAGTTGTATAAGACTTTACCAGGCCACATTGGAGTACTGTGTGCAGTTCTGGTCCCCACACTATAGGAAGGAACTGAGGCTTTGGAAAGGATGCAAAAGAGGTTTACCATGATGTTGCCTGGATTAGAGTGTCTTAGATATAAGGAGAGATTGGATTGTTCTTGCTAGAGTATCAAAGGCTAAGGGATGACCTGATAGAAGTATATAAAATTATGAGAGACGTGGATAGGGTGGATAGTCCAAGTCTGTTTCCGAGGGTGGAAATGTCAAATACTAGGGGACATAGGTTTAAAGTGAGAGGGGAAAGTTTAAAGGAGGTGTGCAAAACAAGTTTTTACACAAGAGGTAGGTGCATGGGATAGGAGCAGATTACTGCAGATGCTGGAATCTGTACTGAAAAGAACAAATGCTGGAGATCACAGCGGGTTAGACAGTATCCATGGAGAGAGAGCAAGCTAATGTTTTGAGTCGAGATGACTTTTCACCAGAGCTGAAGCGAAGTGCGGAGGGGGCAGCATTTATGCTACAGTTTATTGTTTTGGGGGATATGGTAATGCAGTGGTGGGGTGTAGAGTGCTTGTGGAGAAAAAATGTTGATAGTTCAGATTAAGTGATTGGAATGGGAGAATGACAGAACAGTGCTGGACTTGAAAGAGAAGACAGTCCCACTGGATTGGGGGGAGGGGAGAGAGGACATGGTGACAGAGAATGTAACAAGTAAAGCTAAAAGAAAGGGAAGGAATAGGAATTGGTTCACAGTTTGAAGCTGTTGAACTCAGTATTAAATCCAGAAGGCTATAAAGTGCCTAGTCTGAAGAATGGTGCATGTGATGCCTGGGAGGTGGTAGAAGCAGATGTAACAACTTTGAAGAGGCATTTAGATAGAGACATTAACAGGCAGAGTTTGAGGGACATGGACCATGTGCAGGCAGATGGGGTTAGTTTACAATGGCATCATGGACAGCACAGACATGCTGGGCTGAAGGCCCTGTTCCTGTGCTCTCAGTTTGTTCTTACTACACTGCTGGGTATCTTGCCTCACCTGAGACACAGAACTGACCTGAAATGTTATTTGAACCTAGGCTTGCTGGGATTGGTAAAGCCTCCAGTGGAGGTCAACAAGAAAAACAGCTGCCCTCCTGTCTACTACTACATCCACAGAATCTCCAGGTCCCTGTTTGTAAAGCAGAAAGTGAGCTTTGCTGTCCTCTGGGCTATAGTCATGGGGCACCACTGTGAGGGGACAGTTCCTGGTTTGCAACATCTGCAGTGATGTGCAGTTGGGCTTTACGTATGGCATGAGCTGTGGCCAGCACATCCTGCCATCCAATTCCCTGAGGGGGAATTGCACAATTAATGAAGCAAAGAGGGGCACGTTTGTGTGAGGAAAATTGTTCTGAAGCATGGCAGACTGGCCGCCACAAATCTCACACAACAAATTACTTCAACTGAAAATGGTAAAATTCCCCCAACCTATTTTAGATAGACTTAGGATGGAATTTAATGCCATCCCACCTGGTGAATTTGGTGTCAAGGGCTTTGAATGCTGCAGGAGGGTGACATATCTTACTGCCTTTCCCCAGGACCAGGAGGAGGCCATTCAGCCCATCATGTCTGCATCAAAAATGAGCATCATGACTCTCTGCTCCTTCATTATGCTATTTAAAGCCCTACCTCTTTGACCAAGTTTTCATTCAAATTTTGTCTGACAAAGCTCCCGTGAAGTGCCTTAGAAAATCTTACTATGTTAAAGCTGAATTAAACACAAGACAAAACTGTTTTCAACGACTTTGTTACCTCTATATCCAGATATTCTAATGTTCTACTGGCTGGCCTCCTTTCTTACACCTTCCATAAGCTTCCAACTAATGCCAACTTAAGGATCTTGGCATTGCTAGTAATCACTCAGAGATGGGCAGGGGACTCACTGCATGGAACCTGATAAGCAAACCTTGTCAGGGTGGTCCTTCTTTCAGAGCGCTTGATTGAGGGATTCAGCATTGGGATGGGAAGGAACCTGCTGAGGACCTGTTCTCACTTCTGACCCCGTTCTCCCATAACTCTTACCCTGCAACTTTTCCATCACTAGCCTGGGCATGGGTCTTGCTTGATAATCCTGGGCCTGGGCTATGTGTATTACCAGCAGCATCCACTGTTTTCTAATAGCATTGCTGGGCAATGAAGAGCTGCTTGCCTCCCACCCACTCAACATTCTTGACCTGGGGTGAACCTGCTGCTGCCCAATTAATGTGATGGACATTCCTGTCACGAGTTAACATGGGACTTTCCAGTCGTAGGCGTGACTCACATCACCTACAGTAAATTCCACCATTATCAGTGTACTTGTGTATCTTTAGACGCCCACGGTCTTTTTCTGTTGTAATAAGTGCAATTCTGTGAACCTCTAATTGCATCCTGTTTTGAATTTTCAGAATTGTTACTGCCATTTTTCTCTGTACTCTCAATGGGGCCAAAAATCCATGGCTCATTTGTCTTCTCCGACTGATGTCCATGTGTCAGGGACAGAGTGGTGGGGTAAGGGTCTCTAAAGCTAGAAATGTCACTATTTCTGACCTGAAAGAGCAGCAACAACCAGTGCACCCAGTGAAGAGCATCCTCCAGGGGTCTAGTTGGGATCTATATCTGGGTCTGACTTTGTACACAAAGATTTTGAAGGTAATTCATACAAACAGGCTGTGACCGTTCACCCCACTTAGATCAGCTCTGACCATTATGTAATAGTGACAAAATTTGAAACTCAAAGCTGCTCCCTGGGTGCAGCTAGTGTGTGATTGTTTGAACGCAAGTTTGAAAATTCAGTGAATTCTGAGTAAAACATGCCATTGAATGTAGCAAATATGTAATACAAGAGATTTCATTGTACTTTCTTTCTTTAATTCAGTTGATGGAGTGGGAGATATCTGTGAAGGTGATTTTGATCATGATCAAATCATTGACAGAATTGATGTTTGTCCTGAGAATGCGGAGGTGACTCTGACTGATTTCAGAGCATACCAAACAGTGGTACTTGACCCTGAAGGAGATGCACAAATTGATCCAAACTGGGTTGTACTTAATCAGGTAACTTTTTATTAAATGGACATAATGTCATAAACCACCAACACATCAGTTTTGTACCTATCCATTTTAATTAACAACTGTCTAACCCTGAAGACCTGCCCTAATCATCTCAGACACTATTAAATCCTGTAATTCCTTCCCTAAACATTTCCTTCTCTTTACCTCAGATCACAGAAGGGTTGTAGTGCAGAAGGAGGCCATTCAGCCCATCACGTCTGCATCAGCTCTCCAAATGAGTATCATGACTCTCCATTCCTTCTTTATGCTATGTAAAGCCCTACCTCTTTGACCAAGTTTTCATTCGAATGTTGTCTGACAAAGCTCCTGTAAAGTACCTTAGGAAATCTTAGTATGTTAAAGCTGTATTAAGCTTAAGATAGAACTGTTTTCAATGCCATTGTTACCTCTATATCCAGATATTCTAATGTTCTGCTGGCTGGCCTCCTTCCATAAGCTTAAACTATTCCAAAAATATGTTGCCCATATCCTAGTTCATCCCAAGTCCTGTTCACCCTTCACTGATCAACGTTAGCTGCTGGTCTGGAACCACATTGATTTGAACATTAAATAAAAACGAAAAGGACTATGGATGCTGTAAATCAGGAACAAAAACAGAAGTTGCTGGAAAAGCTCAGCAGGTCTGGCAGCATCTGTGAACAAAAAATATCAGAGTTAACATTTTCGATCTGGTGACCCTTCCTCAGTCAGCGGACCCGAAACGTTAACTCTGATTGTTTCTTCGCAGATGCTGCCAGACCTGCTGAGCTTTTCCAGCAACTTTTGATTTTAACATTCCTTGATTACAAATGCTTCCATTGGCCTTACCTTCTCGTAGCTATTTTATGTAACCTCCTCTCATATGAAAGTGAAATAAAAGTATGTGCTATATAATAGCAAATTATTATTGTCATCTGCCCTAATCAACTGATTCATTACAGGGCATGGAAATTGTGCAGACAATGAACAGTGATCCTGGTCTGGCAGTTGGTATGTGACATTATTCAGTGCATTTCAGTGTAGAGGTGTCTGTATTTTAGCTTGTACCTGCAAACCTGTCAGTAGAAGACGGACCCATATCCTAAAACATGGTCCCTCTCTATCAGTCCCAAGTACTAACCTTTATTTATCGCGAAAGTTCCCTGCTTTGAAGGGGATATTATAAATTAGTTCATAATAGGTTAATCACAGATGAATCCAATCAGGAACTTGGGAGAAACCAAGTTAGACCTGGAATTTGCTACCACATGAAGTGGTGGGGGGAATCCGCACAGGTAGATTTAATGAGGAACTAGAGAAAACAAAACGGTTTGGGGCGGCACGGTGGCTCAGTGGTTAGCACTGCTGCCTCACACCGCCAGGGACCCAGGGTTCGATTCCATCCTCGGGCGACTGTCTGTGTGGAGTTTGCACATTCTCCCCATGTCTGTGTGGGTTTCCTCCGGGTGCTCCGGTTTCCTCCCACAATCCAAAGATGTGCAGGCTAGGTGGATTGGCCATGCTAAATTGCCCGTAGTGTTCAGGGATGTGTAGATTAGGGGGATAGGTCTGGGTGGGATGCTCTGTGTGTCAGTGTGGACTTGTTGGGCCGAAGGGCCTGTTTCCACACTGTAGGGATTCTATGATATGAATAGAAGGATATGCTGATAGAGTTTGGTGAAATAAGGTGGAAAGAGATTTGTATGAATCATAGACCTAGTGCACATCTGACTTGTTCAGGTCCAGTAATTACAGTAAAATACTACATAATTCTGTGCAGTTTACTCTCTGCTGCATTTCAGTATTACTATTTTGAGAGCATTTACACTAACCAATGACCAATCTTCATTCTAAGGAAACATGGGCCAGTGGCCTGACAGCTGATTTCTGGTGATCTTACAGGTTATACTGCTTTTAATGGAGTCGATTTTGAAGGTACTTTCCACGTAAACACCATGACAGATGACGACTATGCTGGCTTTATATTTGGATACCAGGATAGTTCTAGCTTCTATGTGGTCATGTGGAAACAGACTGAGCAAACCTACTGGCAAGCTACACCATTCCGTGCTGTGGCCGAGCCTGGTATCCAGCTGAAGGTACACTGAGCCCCAAGGTCAATTGTTGAGATTTTGCCAGGGACAGTCGCATAGAATGGAAGCGGTTTTAGTAGTGTTCTAAATTTTAATAGTGCATTCTGATGAGTATGCCAGCAGGTATTGTATATGCCTACTTTGTTAATAGCAAATCCCGAAATTGGGATGAGGATATATTTGCCCTAATGCCACGATCCTGGATGTTAGGAAACCAGACATTATAGTATGGGAATGGATTGATCACCTTTCAATTATTACTCATGCACAGGCTTTGGCTGTGAACTTCCTTGCAACTACTCCCTCTCCATCACAGCAACTGCAAACACATTAATGGGAGTTCTTCTGAACATCTGATTAAGTTACGTCAGCCAAGCACCCATGTGGAACTTCCAAGCTTTTGTTATATTGTGTCTTCGTAATAGGTTTGCTCACTACTTTTTTTGGCCTCAATGACCGGGACAAAGAAGGGAAACAAGAGATTGAGACAAAGACTGGGGAAGCTGCAGATGGTGAGGAGGATTGCCAGAGGACACAGCAGGAAATAGATAGATTGGAGAAATAGTGGATGGAATTTAATCCAGACAAATTTTGGAAGGTCTAATGCAGGAGGGAAGTATACACTAAAGGGCAGAACCTCCTAGAAGCATTAACATACAGAGGGATCTAGGCATACAGGCATCCATAGTTCCCAGAGAGTGGCAACACAAGTGGATAAGGTGGTCAACAGGTGTATGACATGTTTGACATCAGATGAAGGGTCTGGGCCTGAAACGTCAGCCTTTCTGCTCCTATGATGCTGCTTGGCCTGCTGTGTTCATCCAGCTCTGCACCTTGTTGTCATAGATCTGAACTGCTTCATTAACCGTGTATGTACATAAAGATTCCCTTCTGTGAAGAAAGCATATTTTTGCAATTAAACAAAAATCAAGACCAGTATGTCCCCATATATCTCTGCTTGAAATCTGTTTGTCACATTGTTTTAACTTTGAGCTACTAACTAAATTTGCTGCAACCTCCATTCATCTTGCTGTTGTTGTGAAACATCTAAAGACACTTGAAACAGGACAGCTATGAAGTGAATCGAGTAGCAGTTTATTGATTCGATAATGAATAGGGCTCATGTGGCACAATGGTAGTGTCCCTACCTCTGAGCTAGGAACCCTGGGTTCATGTCCCCCTGCTCCAGACATGTGTAGTAAAATCTTTGAAGAGGTTGATTAGAAAATGCCCTAATATATTTGATCAATAATGGTTACTCAAGTATGCACATGGGGTAGAATGCCTTCAGCTTGCTCCAGGATAACTCAATGACTCTCTGGGACATTTATACACAAGAACACAAGAAATAGGAGCTGGAGTAAGTTGTCTGGCCCATTGAGCCTGCTCCATCATTCAATAATATCATGGCTGATCTTTTCGTGGACTCAGCTCCACTCACCTGCCCGCTCACCATAACCTTTAATTCCTTTACTGTTCAAAAATCTATCTACTTTTGCCTTAAAAACATTCAACAAGATAGCCTCAGATGTTCCAGTGGGCAGGGAATTCCACAGATTCACAACACTTTGGGTGAAGAAGTTCCTACTCAACTCAGTCCTAAATATGCTCCCCCTTATTTTGAGGCTATGCCTCCTGGTTCTAGTTCCACCCGCCAGTGGAAACAACCTCCTCGCTTCTATCTTATCTATTCCCTTCATAATTTTATATGTTTCTGTAAGATCCCCCCTCATTCTTCAAAATTCCAATGAGTACAGTCCCAGTCTACTCAAGCTTTAAGCCAACCCTCTTAACTCTGGAATCAACCTAGTGAACCTCCTCTGCACCACCGCCAGAGCCAGTACATCCTTTTCAAGTAAGGAGACCAAAACTGTACACTATATGATTTCTTGTAACATCACTTTGTGTTCCTCAATAACATCATGGAACATCTGTCCTTGCTAACACTTTCTGGTCTTTAAATGGCAGTATAAAAATAAGTTACATCTTGCTCTTGTTACTCCACCTTATCCCCCTTCTTGCACCAAAAAAATTGCAGCATCTGTTCTCTCTGACCATCTCTACTTTCCATTTCCTTCTTTATTCCTTGTTTTTTCATTCATGGAATGAGGGCATCACTGGCTAGTCCAGTGGTTATTGGCCATCCCTTGTTGCCCAAAGGGCAGTTAAGAGTCGACCACATTCCTATCATAAGATAATGATTTATCAGAGAATAGTAATGTCTTACTCTTTATAATAATTTTTTTTATTACTGTCAGCAGAACTATTCCCTTCTTAGCTCATCGTTTATGCTCATGCAGCTGTGATAGATGCCTACACTAAAATCAGTTTATTGTTCTGGAGTCATTTCTGCAATTTCAGGAATGTCGTTTTCCTGTTAAATGTTTACTTTTATTTTTTGTTGCTTCCACTGCGCCTTGCAGTGACCATGACAAGTTGGAATTTAGCATTCAGCCTGAGCATGAGAAACTTGGGTAGGAAACAATTGTGTCAAATTTAAGTAAGAGTAATTATATAGAGGTAATGGCAGAATTGGACTGGGAAAGGGGTTTAGCAGAAGAAATAGTTGGGGAACTATGAGAGACATTTAAGAAAATAGCTCATGACTCACAGCAAAGATACATCCCTACAGGGTAGAGAGATTGTAGGAAGGAGATAAAGTGACCATGGTTAATCAGGGATGTTAAGGATAGTATCAAAGTGAAAGAAACATACAATGTGGAAAAAATTACTGGTGTCTCAGCGGATATGAAAATTGTAAAAGCAAAAAGTTGAACGAAAGATATACCGAGGGTAAACTAGCAATTAATATAAAAATAAACATTAAGAGCTCCTTGAAATTTATAAGAAGAAAAAAAAGAGAAGCCAAAGAATGAGGCTGAGGAAATTATAATCAGGAACCAGGAAATGGTTGAGGAGTTGAATAAATATTTAGCATTTTGTCTTCACGCTAGAGGACATTAATAGCATTCCAGAATTACTAAATATTCGAAGGGTCTAAAGGGCGGTGGTGGTGAGGGGGCGTTGGTGGGAGGAGTTTGAGGATAGGGAAATAAACACAATAATTTATTGCCAGATAAAACGTACTGGGGAAACTAATCGGGCTAAAGACCAGTAAGTCCCCTGGACATGATAGGATGGATCCTCGGATTTTGAAGGATGTAGCCGCAGAGATAATGGATGAACTAATAGACATCTTCTGAGAGTCCTCAGATTCTGGAAAAGTCCCAGAGGATTGAAAAATGGACACTGTAACACCCTTAATTAAAAAGGGAGAGAGATGAAAGAAAAGGTGACTTAGGCCAGTTAGCCAAACATTTGTCATTTGGAAAATCTTAGAGTCTATTATAAAAGATGTAATAGCACAGCATAGAGAAATATGGAATAAAATCAGGCAGAGTCAGCATGGCTTCATGAAAAGGATAGTCTTGCCTGACAAATTAATTAGAGTTCTTCAAGGAAGTAACAAACAGTTTAGATAAAGGGGAACCAGTAAATGTAAAATATTTGGATTTCCAAAAGACACTTGATAAAGTACCATACATAATAAGATGAGAATCCATGGTGTTGGGGGCAATATGTTAGCATGGATAGAAGATTGGCTAATTAATAGAAGTCAGGGACTTGGGATAAAGGGGATATTTTCAGGAGCGTAATCTGTAACTAGTGAAGTGTCACAGGGATCAGTGCTAGAGCCACAAATATTTACTAAATATATATATATTAATCACTAGGATGATGGAAGTGAATATACTATTGCTAAGTTTGTGTATGACAGACTTGATATAGACAGGTTAGGAAAATGTGCAAAAACTTGGCAGATGGAATATAACGTGGGAAATTGTGAGATTATGCACTTTGGCGAGAAGAATAGAGGAGCTGACTATTATCTAAATTAAATGCAGAATGCTACAGCACCATGGAATTTGCAGATCCTGGTGCATTAATCACAAAAAGCCAGCATCCAAGTTCAGCAGGTATTAGAGAATGTTGGCCTTTGAAATAAGGGAATATAGTATAAAAATAGGGAAGTCTAACTAAAACTATACAAGGCACTAGTTAGAGCCACCTGGAATACTGTGAGCAGTTTTGGTTCTCTTTTCTATGGAAAGATATACTGACATTGGAGGAGGGCCAGAGAAGGAATGTATTTAAATAAAAATCGAAAGAACTGCAGATGCTAAAAATCAGAAATAAAACGAATATTGCTGGAAAAGCTCAGCAGGTCTGGCAGCATTAGTGGAGAGAAATCAGCGTTAACGTTTCAGGCCCAGTGACCCAAGGACAGTTCTGAGGAAGGGTCACTGGACGTAGAAACATAGAAGATAGGAGCAGGAGGAGGCCGTTCAGCCCTTCAAGCCTGCTCTGTCATTCATCACGATCATGGCTAATTGTCCAACTCAAAAGCCTAATCCTGCTTTCTCCCCATAATCTTTGATCCCATTCACCCCAAGTGCTATATCTAGCCACCTCTTGAATACATTCAATGTTTTGGCATCAACTACTTCCTGTGGTAATGAATTCCATGGGCTCACCACTCTTGGGGTTAAGAAATGCCTCCTCATCTCCATCCTAAATGGTCTACTCTGAATCCTCAGACTGTGACCCCTGGTTCTGAACACACCCACCATAAGGAACATCCTCCCTGTATCAACCCTGTCTAGTCCTGTTAGAATTTTATAAGTCTCTATGAGATCCCCCCTCATTCATCTGAACTCCAGCAAAAGCAACCCTAAGCTAGTCAATCTCTCCTCATACATCAGTCCTGCCATCCCTGGAATCAGTCTGGTAAACCTTTGCTGCAATCCCTCGAGAGCAAGAGCAGAAAAGGAGACCAAAACTGCACGTAATGTTCTAGGTGTGGCCTCACCAAGGCTCTGTATAACTGCAATAACACATCCCTGCTCCTGTACTCAAAACCTCTCGCAACGAAGGCCAACATACCATTACATAACTCAGATCTCTCTCCTCAGATGCTGCCAGATTTGCTGAGCTTTTCCAGCAATTTCTGTGTTTGTTAAAGAAATAAATTTGTTTTTCCAAAGTTGACATTTCACCTTTTTAATTGCTTATTGAGATTGATACAACTTGTAAACGTCCTAATTTCCTGTCAAAATTGGTCTTTTAGGCAGTCAAGTCAAACACTGGACCTGGTGAGCATCTACGAAATGCACTCTGGCACACAGGAGACACCACAGACCAGGTCCGACTACTATGGAAAGACCCCAGAGATGTGGGTTGGGAAGATAAGATTTCTTACCGTTGGTTTTTGCAGCATAGACCACAGGTTGGATATATCAGGTAGGGTGGAAATCTATTGCTATACATGAATCATGCCCAGCGGGTTCTTTTCATAGAATCATAGAATCCCCACAGTGTGGAAGCAGGCCATTCAGCCCATCGAGCCCACACCAACCCTTCCAAGAGCATCCCACCCAGACCCACACCCCTCACCCAATCCCTGTAACTCTGCATTTCCCATGGCTAACCCACATAGCCTGCACATCCCTGAGCCCAATGGGCAATTCAGCATGGCCAATCCACCTAACCTGCACATCTTTGGACTGTGGGAAGAAGCCAGGGCATCTGAGAAAACTCACGTTCCACACAGACAGTCATCCAAGGGTGGAACTGAACCTGGGTGCATGGCAATGTGAGGTAGCAGTGCTAACTACTGAGCCACCGTGCCACCCCAAGCTGGGGACCTCTGGATTACCCATCCAACATAGCCAGTAAACTACTAATAGTCACAGTTAGAAAGACACTACAGGTGCTTGCTGTGATTTGTGTACAAAGTTAGTAACTTTAGGCATCAGGCTGATGTATCATTATTCCAAACTCACCGCACAAGTTTTGGCATCTTTGTATCCGATGCCTAGAGTCATACAGCATGGAAACAGAGCCTTCAGTCCCTGTTGTATGCTTCATACAGCCAATGATACAGCATGTATTTGAATGGTAGATATAAACTAAGTTCACTACAGAAACTTAAGCATTGTGCATTCTGTTTTAAGTACATTTTTAACACTATGACTAGTGTTAATTGTTCCCAAATAACCTCATTGGCATTGAAAACCTATTTTTGCAAGTGTGGAGTCACGTTCTGTCATCTGTTTAATGTTTTTTAGAATTTTCATTCACCCTCTGTTTTTGTGCATCTGATTTGACATTGAATTCTTTTCTTTTTATTGTGTGATGCATTTTGATAAAACTATACCTATTAACCACTTTCACACCCACACCCAAAGTGAAACTATTTAGTTACCAAAATCAAATCAATTCACAATATAGAAATGCATTAGGAAGACAATTCATTATTACATAAGATAATAGAGGATATTTGCCCCCAGTTCTGTAGCTGCGAATTCATTTCACAAATTGACTGGTATTCTGTGAAGAATTTCCTGATGTCAATCCCAAACTATTCAACTAGCTTGGGGGGCTGAATGGTTTCTTTCTGTTCCTATGTTCCATTACTTCCATAAGAGCAGCCACACCTTGTACCAAATATTTCTCCTTTCTATGAATATTATTTTATACATCTGAATCAAATTTCATCAATGTTTTGATCATTTGTGTACACAATTAAGAAGGACTGTTAATATTCCAAACATATTTGAAACAAGCAAATTGAGGAAACAGTTAATGTTCAAATAGAAGCTGGCTTAGAATTACACCTATTCACTGTAATTGTTACATAAATAATAAAGGCAAGATACTGCAGATGTTGGAAATCTGAAACAAATATGGACAATGCTGGAGAAACTCAGCAGGTCAGTCACCATCTGCGGAGAGAGAAAGAGTTAATATTTACTAGTCTACAATGATTCTTCTTCAGAACAGTCAGGACTATAATTGTCACAACAGATGAGGAGGAGTTGGCAACAATGAATGTTTTAAAATTCTTTTCAAGTACAAGAACATATAGGTCTCTGATAAAAATGTAGTTGCCCAATGTCTATTGTATCAGTAAGAAGCTAGTTACAAAGCTTTTTTTTCAGTGTTGACTGAGGAATGTCAAGCATACAAAGTTAAAGATAAATAGTCTAGGACTAAAAGAAAATGAGAGCATACAAGTTCAAGTTCTTGGTCTGTCCTTATGGCAGAATGGTTTTAACCTGAGACTGTGGCTGTTTAATTGACGTTGAGTCATTCATAATAGCAATTAAACACAAACAACTATAGCTGCTGGAAATCTGAAATCTGAAACAGAACAGAATGCGCTGGAGAAACACACCAGGTCTGATAGCATCTGTCGAGAGAAAACAGAGTTAACGTGTTGAATCCAGAGAGCCTTCATCAGATCTCAACTCAGTTGAGCAAGACAGAGACAGCAGGACAAATCCAACCTGGATATTTACCGCGCTATCAATCTACCCATAAGGTGATAAAAGGTGTTGTTGACGGTACTATTAAGTGGCACTCGCACAATAGCCCACTCAGTTTGCGTTCTGCCAAGAGCACTTCACTCCTGACCTCTTTATAGCCTTGGTCCAAACATGGACACCGAGCTGATCTCGAGAGGGGAAGTGAGTGCGACTGCCCTTCCCATTAGGGCAGCACTTGATCAAGCGTGGTGTCAAGAAGCTCTAGACAAATGTCACTCAAAATGTTTGACACCTTCCAGGACAAATCAGCCTGTTTTGATTGGCTTGCAATCTAACACCTAACACTCTATCTACCACTAATGCACAGTGTGTATCATCTACAAGATATTCTACAAAAACTCAAAGGCTCCTTTGACAGCATCTTCTAAACTCACATACTCTACCATATAAAAGGTCAAGGCAACAGATACATGGGAACACCACCACCTGCATGTTCTCCTCCAAGCAACTCACCATCCTGACTTAGAGATATATCACCGTTTCTCCAGGGTCACTGGGTCAAAGTCCTGGAACTGCCTCCCTAACAGCATTATGGGGGTACCAATGAAGTCAGCTCACCTGCAACTTCTCAAAGAGAGTGTTAGAGATGAGCCCTTGCAGGTGATGCCCATGTGAATGTATTTTTAAAAATCATGCAGCTTCATAAGAACTTCTGCTGATACTGCCAGAGTACAGACCATTATATAGATCTGATCAGCCTTTTCATAGGTAAAATGTCAATCCCCCTTCCTGTTGGATCTTCTTGATAAGCCCCACCTCTTCACCTCAGCTTTGGGCGACCCCTCCTTTACGCCTCTCTGTGAATGACTTATTTGGATAATTTTCTATGTTGACAGAACAATGCAAAGTAAATGTTAAACTGTCGTTGTCATTCATGATAGCTGTTGTGCTTTTCACAGAGCAAGGTTTTATGAAGGTTCTGATCTGGTGGCTGATTCAGGAGTTACAATAGATACCACCATGCGAGGCGGAAGACTGGGAGTCTTCTGTTTTTCCCAGGAAAACATCATCTGGTCCAACCTCAGATACCGCTGCAATGGTAAGGAACTGTTGTCTGTCACTGTTTGTATGGAAGAGATAGCATCACTGTCCATTAACAAGAGGACACAGCAAGAACTGCAGATGCTGGAGTCAGAAACAACACAGTGTGGAACTGGAGGAACACAGCTAGCCAGGCAACATCAGAGGAGTAGGAAAGTTGACATTTTGGGTCGGGACCCTTCATCAGGACTGGGAAGGGGGAAGGGAGCTGGGAAATAAATAGAGAGAGGAGGGGTGGGGCTGTGGAAGGTAGGTGGGATGAAGATAGGTGAATGCAGGTAGGGAGTGGTGGGGATTGGTCAGTGAGGTGGGAGGGGCAGATAGGTGGGAGAGAAGATGGACAGATTGTGTCAGGTCTAGGAGGTGGGAGGGAGGATGGGTGGGGCTGGGGAAAGGTAGGTGGGGTGGTGATAGGTTGGATGCAGGTAGGGGGTAGTGGGGATTGGTTGGTGGGAAGGGTAGCAGGGGGGATAGGTGGGGAAGAAGTTGGACAGGTTGTGTCAGGTCAAGGAGGCGGGATGAGAGGGAGGATTGGACATGGGATGAGGCCGCGGGTGGGAAGACTCTGAAACTGGGGAATTCTATGTTCAGGCCATTGGGTTGTAGGCTCCCAAGGTGGAATATGAGGTGCTGCTCCTCCAGTTTCCGGAATGAATCATTGTGGCACTGAACGAACAACATTGTGGCGCTTGCTCGGGGACTGTTTTGTGGGGCATCTGTACACGATAATTGACAACACCTTCTGGTCAGCAATTTTAACTCCCCCTCCCATTCCCTGGGTGACATGTCCACCTGGGCCTCCTCAGTGCCACAATGACGCCACCTGCAAACTGGAGGAACAACACCTCATATTCCGTCTCGGGAGCCTACAGCCTGGCCTCATCTCATATCCAAGCCTCCCTCTCATCCCCGCCTCCTTGACCTGACACAACTTGTCTGTCTTCTTCCTATCCACCCTACCCTTCCTACCAACCGATCCCCACTACCCCCTACCTGCATCCAACCTATCACCACCCCACTTACCTATCCCCAGCACCATCCATCCTCCCTCCCGCCTCCTGGACCTGACACAACCTGTGCGTCTTTTCTCCCACCTATCCACCCCTCCCACCCCACTGGCCAATCCCCACCACTCCCTACCTGCACTCACCTATCACCATCCCACCGACCTTCCCCAGCCCCACCCCTTCTCTCTCTATTTATTTCCCAGCTCCGTTCCCCCTCTCCATTTCCGAAGAAGGGTCCTGATCTGAAACGTCAACTTTCCTGCTCCTCTGATGTTGCCTGACTTGCTGTGTTCCTCCAGCTCCACACTGTGTTGCTTCTGTCAATTAACAATATGTGCATTCTGAATCTGAAAATACACAGCAGGCCAAGCAACATCTGAAAAGATCAGAGATAGCAAGAACTGCCAATGCTGGAGTCAGAGTCAATAGAGTGTGGAGTTGGAGGAACAGCATCTGCCTGACCTGCTGTGTTACTGCAACATCTGAAAAGGTGGAAGGCAGCTTGAGAATTCCATGTAATCCTTGACCAAAACTAGAAATAAAAGTCTTTGTTGAACTTCTCAAAGCTAAGACGTCTTAGATACGGCTGAGTCATGAATGCTAACTTCTTCCACACTATATAACAGAGAGGTTTCTGTGCATGTCACGTGTTTTTCTGGTTCATCATGCGTTCCACCTGGGCAGATAAAATTGGTAGCATGATGTTGTCTGCCCAGGTGCCTGCTCCCAACATTACCTTCCTACAGGACTCACCCTAACCTTGGTGCAAGTGGAGCCAGCCGAAACCTAAAAGGCTATTTTGCTGTGATAACTGGATATTGCGTAGATTGAGATCCAGCTACATTAAAACATATTGAAGTTTTTAGTTTGGTGCACCCAGTTCCTTACTGCCTCTGAAGTGGGCACCCACAGCCAATATTGGGGTCACCTGCCCAATGACTCTATGAATTCGAACAAAATCAGGGTTGTGCTTATATGGAATGAACTGCCAGAAGAAGTGGTAAAGGCATGTACAATTAAAACATTGAAAAGACATTTGGACAGCTACATGGATAGGAAAGGTTTAGAGGAATAAGGACCAAGTGCAGGAAGATTGAACTAGCTCAGTTTAGGAAACCTGGTCGGTATTGACAAGTTGGGTAGAAGGGCCTGTTTCTGTGTTGTATGACTCTATGATTTTAAGATCAGGGCGACAAATCATCATTGGGCAGAAGATCTATTCTGCTGTTGACGAAAGGGACCTACACATTTTCTTGGGAGTGTGTGTCTTGATCTCTTTAAAGTAATGCTGCGTTCTTGTGGATAAATTGTTTTAGCTCCCATTAAAATATGAGGCACATCTCTGAAACAGGTGGGATTTAAACCCCCATGCCTCCAGGCTCAGAGGTGTGGACACTACCACTGCACAAGACTGCACCCTTCCCCTATCCCTTCAAAAGGAATAAGATTGATTCATGTTTCATTAACCTGCTTTTTGATAGGATTAGTTGAGCACTGAATGTTGGCCATGGCTTTCAGAAAATGGTTTAATTGACTGAGCTTGGTGTATTTGGATTTAAGAGGATACACATGAATTCAGTTTGAAGTCGGTCTGCTATTTTGTACTGCTCTTCCTGGACATCTCTCTTCTTTAGAAGCAAACCAAGTTTCATTGTGAGAATGGGGATTGAATTCATGATAGAAGGTGGCTCAGCATCACCTTCTGAAGTGCACCTAGGAATGGTGTTAATGGTAGTCTGCTGAGCGAAACCCGTCTCCCAAAGGTAAGTAATAAAAAGAATCAAATTCCTGGTTCCAAACACTATGCAAAAGAACAAGCCATCCAGAATAAAATACCTTCTGCCAAATAGCAGTTCTAATTGCCTCTAAAGTCTCTCCATTTTGGAGCCAAAGTCAACATTATCTTGAGTCAAAGAGGGTGTCAGTGTGTCTGTAATGCACTCAGATCAGGATGCTGGCAGCAGATTTTGCTTACAAGATAACCAATAACGTTGTTTGTCTCACAAATATAAAGGTTGCCCTTTCAGATTAGTATAATAGAACATTTAATTTAAAGAATTAATGTGACTATTTATATCTATTTGTCGTTCATATTCATTGCCCACTTGTGGTAAACTCGGCATACACAGATGTCAGAATAGTCAGTTCACTGCATATGCCAAGTTTTTGGCACCTCTATCAATGCCAAAGCCACTAGAACATTAAATGCCTAATCACTGATTCTGAAGAGATCCGAAGTGTCTGGTGTAAATCTGCTTTTGTGAACCTTTGTCTAACAATCAGTAACTTTCTTTTCAGATACAGTTCCTGAGGATTTCCAGGAGTTTCAGGCACAGCAGTTGTAGCCAGTTCTCAGAAAGAGTCTGACAGAGAAACCAAATGGAGATAGTCCTGAATATCTTGCGGGGGTGCTAAAACAGCTGTGAAAAAATGAAGTGGGTTTAACATGTAAACGAGACTTATGTCACAGAGCTGTCTCTGGCATTTATACTAGAAATTCCAATAAAACATTTTAAGAAGCCATGTTTAATCACATTGCTCTGATTGTTTGTCTTTAGTTTAACACAATAACAAAAACGTGATATCTTTCAAAATATTAATTAAATCAGTTATTATGGGCATTCTTATTTATTGTTATGTTGCTGCAAAGGAGGTTTTCCTCCATAATATGGTTCACGATATGTACAAAATGTCTACTTTCTGTTTTTAATTTGTTCTGATGAGGTCGGAATTACTGCCCTTCCCTATAGTAAGTGCACTTTTGGAAATGACACTGGTCACTGGTAAAAAAGCAAAAAGGAAGCACTACTGTAAACCTGAAGAAAATTGTACAGAACTAACTTGCAGGTGTTATGGACACACTTCAAAACTTGGGCTCAGAGTTTTCAAGATAGAGAGAAGAAAGAAATAGCTTCAAACTCCCAGCCCCTAAAAATAGCAGCTATGTGTAAGATTATTATGCAAAGGCTCATCCACATTTGAAGTTTTAAAGTATTACCCTGGTGGCTCAGTTCCTGGGAAAGCTGAAGCAAATAGGCCAATTGTTAGGCCTGTGTTGGATTGGATTGGCTGATGTCATGGATTCTTTTTCCTTCTAATGTGGATCTGAGAGTAACAGATGTGCTCTACCTTGCTGCGGCTGTACTTTCAATTTCGTGCCATGATCAGACACCCACTTTATCCCCCACAAGCCTCCATCTGAACTGAAGGACCTACCAGAGGGGCAGTGGTGAGGTCTGGTCTCTATGTAGGACCAGGCCATATGCTACTCTCAGAAACTGGTATCACTGTAAGTGACCACAGCACTGTCAAATTAATGTAAAAGTACACTGGTTCAGTAACGTCCTTCAAGATTGGAAATCTGCCATTCTTACAATGTCCTGCCAAAATGTGACAGCAATTCTGTTACTATATGTAAAACTCTTAATTGTTCTCTAATAGGCCATTGAGTGTCAGGAGAAAGGCCTACCACCTCAGCAAACAGGAATTGATATAAGCACTCACCTTGCCAGTCACGTCAACACCACAAGATGAATTATTTGTGAAATGTTAAAGCAATGCATTGCCCTGTGGTGGAATAAAATTGCAGTGACTGTATCAGTAGTACTAACAGCAGGCATAACATTCTGTTAGATTTTGTATGTCATTTATTCACAAGTCCCCATGTGAATCATTGAATTGTTTCACGACAGAAGGAGATCATTCAACCAGCAAACATTTAGCAATTTATAAACATAAATTTCAACACTGCACCCTGGAATAGCACAATAGCTGCAGGTGTTGGGTAGATTTATTGTGTTTAAACAAACCAAAGTAGAACACTTCAAGTGAAATGGCCAGTGAAAGATTTTAGTGTGGTTTTGTGTTATTATTGTGATAGTCAGCCTTAGAAAAAACTAAAATGAACAAATTTAACTGGATATTGCTTCCATTATGGACTGGATTTTGAGTTTTGGATCAGTGAAGTCAAATAGAGGTCCCAACTATAGACTGCGCATCACTATCTTTTGTTCCAGGAGGTGGTAAGTTTGGACAATAGGCAGAACACTTAATCAGATGGGGTGGCAGCAGACCCAGATATCACCTTCCCTGCCCCTTGCACCCCATAACCTTTACCAGAATTAATTTCAGGTTGGGAAAGTCCATAGCTGGCCTTCCCATCTCACTGTCAATTGAGGACCTTGTGTGGCCCCAATCCACCACTGCTGGGATTGGCCCAGCTGCAAATGGGTTTGTTACCATGCAGCGTGGCCAACATGTCAACCTGCATTTCTCACCTCCGGCAACAAAAGGCCCCAAGGGAAGAGGGGTGTATGCTGATAGCTACCCTTGCCCTCACTGCCAACCTCCTGCCCTTCTCCCTGTGATCCACAACCTCACCTTCCCCTAGATCACACCCTTGGGTTCTTCATGACTCTGTGGCTGTTATTGCATTAGCTGCCCTACTTCCTCATTGGCACTGCTGAGTGCAAGAGATGCTGGCTTTTGATTGGTTGTCAGCTCCAGCCGGCTGGGACTTCCATCCAGAGAGTTTGAATTCTAGGTGAAGGCCTGCAGGTGGCCTCTCTAATGCCTGATTAGGCTTCAGTGGGCCTTTGTAGGGGTGTGGGCATGGGTGTGTCACTCATTGGCTCCTCTGGTGGCTGATCAGTCCCCTGGTACTTCAACAACACTCCCCCAACCCCCTGTGGGAAAGAGAAACAAGAAAACAGAAATTTCTGGAAAATCTCAGCAGGCCTGCAGCATCTGTGGCAAGGAATCAGAGTTAACGTTTCGGATCCAATGACCCTTCTTCAGAAAGTCATCGACAGACCATGATTTTGGTATAACTGACTTGTAGTTAGCCAGATGGTGGGATCACTATGTAATGAGGGAAAATGAGTGGGCTATCAAGAGGCCCTCCATCACCAAAAAGCTACAGTTTGCCTTTTCAGTTGAGAGAAAGACAGCATAGAAGTAAAGATGTTATACTTCAGTTACACAGAGTATTGGTGAGATTGTATCCTGAATACCGTGTGCAATTTTGGTCTCCTAATTTAAGGAAGGATGTAAATACGTTAAAAGTGGTTTGGAGGGATTTCACTAGATCAATATCTGGAATGAGTGTGTTGTCTAATGAGCACAGTTTCGACAGACTGGGCTTGTTTCCACTGGAAGTTAGGAGAGGGGTATCTTGCTTGAAGTTATAAGATCCTGAACAGTCTTGACACGGTGAAAGTAGAAAGGATGTTTCCTGTTATGGGTGAGTCCAACTTAGGGGGCATTTTTTCAGAAATGGGGATCAATCAGAGATGAGAAGAAATAATTTTCTAGAGGGTTGTGTAGCTTTGGAACTGTCTGCCTCATAAGGTAGTGGAGTTAGGGAAATTAATTTTTTTTAATGCAGAGGTAGGTTCTTGTTAGGTAGTAAATTAAAGGCAATTGAGAAATGGGAATATGGAATTTAAAGCATAAATAGATCAGCCATAATCTTATTGAATGGTGGAGCAGGTTCAAGAGGCCAAGTAAGACCATAAGGCGTAGAAGAAGGAGAAGGACATTCAGCCCATCGAGTCTGCTCTCCCATTCAATGAGGTCCTCAATTCCACTTTTCTGCCTTTTCACTTCACTCTTGATCCCTTACTGATTTAAAATCTATCCATCCCAGCCTTGAAGATATCTAATGACCCTTTTCAGTAAAGAATTCCACAGACTGTCCACTCTGATGTATCTCTAATAGGGTCCTCCTAATTCTCAGATTATACCCCCGGTCCTAGACTCTCCCACAAGGGATGGTCTATTTCTCCCTCTATGGCATTTGTTTGTATGTTAATTGGAATGAAGACATGTGGAGAGAAGGTGGAAAAGTGGACTCATTGTGACAATCTATCAATTATTTTATTGAATAGGAGAGCAGGCTGAAGGTTCCTTATGGCCTAGTGCCTATCCTCATTTTCTGTTATGTTCTTAAACCCAAATTAAAGCGGTAGGTACAACCAGTTTTATCACTGAAGGTTGAAGCTGTTGATGGGACACCATTCAGACAGGCTGCTTTGTTAACAATAACAGAAAGGAAATGGTCAATGAGTAAAGTATGGGTGAATAAATGAAATCAACTTGGACTTCTTCAAAGCAAATTGTGTTTGACTAAAATGATTGAGTTAGAAGAGAAGAGGTGTTTGCAAGGAAAGATGTCATCTTTGTTTTCCCTGTTTTATTTCTTATTTGCATGTTTCAGTTTTCCCCTTTTATTTACGCTCTTATTTTTATTTTCAAACAGCAGCTCACTTGCTCCAGACACGTTTGTTTCTTCTCTCGTCCCATCATCATTCTCTTTGCCCCTGAAAGATAAACTCTGCTATCATCCAATCTGTCCCGTTATCCACCCTATCAAAGACCATTCTGTATGCTTGTCCCATTCAATCACTTGCTCAAAACCTATTATGCCTGTAACTTTCAAGAACATAAGAAACAGAAACAGGACTCTCCTCAAGTTTGCCCCACCATTCTATAAAGTCGTGACTGATCACTCCCATGCCTCAACTCCTTTTTCATGTTTTGAACCTCATAGCCCTCAACTTCTTGACATTTCAAAATCCACTACCTCTTTAAATACTTCCGGTGGTCTAGCCTCTATAACTGTCTCTGAAGCAGAGAATTCCAGACATCAACTACCCTCTAAGAGAAAAAAATTACTGTAACTATGTTCCCCAGTTTGAGATTCTCTGACTTAGTGGAACCACCCTCTCGCATTCTACCCTGTCTAGGAGTTCAAGAACAGGGAAGTCTTTGTACAACTGTACTGGGTGTTGGTGAAGCTGCACCTGGAATCCTGTGTACAGTTTTGGTTCCCACATTTAAGAAAGTATGCAGTGACATTGAAGGCAATTCAAAAGAGACTCACTAGGCTGATTCCTGGGATGAATGAGTTGACTTATCAAGAAGCTAAAGAGTTTAGGCCTTTTGTTCATCAGAGTTTAATGGAATGAGGGCTGATTTAATGAAACGTACAAGATTCTGAGGGGGCTTGACAAGGTTGTTTGAGAAGACGTTTCCTCTAGTAGGGGAGTCTCAAACTAGGGGACATAGTTACAGAATAAGTGGACACTCAATTAAAACTGAGATGTGAAAAAATTTCTACTTGCAGAGTGTAGTGAATGTCAGGAAATTTCCAATTCAGATTTATGGAGGCTGGATCACTGAAAGTATGTAAAGGGATGTAGATAAATTTTTGAAATATCAGGGAGTTGATGGCTACAAGGAGCTGACATGAAAGAGGAGGTGAGGCCTATGGCAGATCAGCCACGATCTTGTTGAATGGCAGGTCAGGCTTGAGGGGCTGAATGGCCTATGTCTGTTCGTATACCTTATGCCCTTATGTTTCTGTGACCATCCCACAGCTTCACAGATACCTCAACTGGTATCGGGTTTTTATTCCCATACATTTTAATACTGTAACACTAATATTTGAACTCTGTCTGCATAGATTAGTTCAGTAACAAAAACCATTTTGCAAAGTGGTCATGTCAAATACAAACAGGCA